TTTTTTTTTTTTTTGAGAGAGACAGAGGGTGCACTTGCACAAATCTGGGAGAGGGGCAGAGGGAGAGAGAGAGTCTCAGGCAGGCTCCATGCCCAGCACAGAGCCCCATTAGCGGCTCGATCCCACAACCCTGGGATCACGACCTGAGCAGAAACCAAGGGTCGGAGGGACATTCGACCGACCGAGTCCCCCAGATGCCACACCCATTTCAATTCTCACCGTATTTAGTTTTGCTCAAATTCTCTATTTCTTTTTTTTTTTTTTTGGCCGTTTTTAGCATTTTGTATTTCTCCAGAAACATATGTGCTACACATTCAGTCTTCTAGGACCTCTTTGCTCGGTGTCCCGTTTCCCCCTTGTCAGGAGGTGCTGATCCGCGTGGTCCTTGGAGGCAGCTTCCTGGGACGTACGTGCCGTAAGGTTTTACCCGCGTCTCTTCGTGGATGGCTTGCAGGTTTTCTAGGACACACGGTGTGACTGTGGCCTCACTTCCATGGGTCCCACCGGTCCCAGCCAGTGGCGAATCAGCCCAGACATCAGAGGCGGGGAACAGACCCCGCGGGAGAGCTGCGTGTGCGAACAGAGGTGGGAGGGCTTGCCGGTAGCCTATTTGCAGAAAATCCTACAACTGTACACATCCTAATATAGTTGCCTGATGAACTTTGGGGTCGAACTGAACATTCTTTGAGTGGATACGTGGTGTGTTAATTTCTGGATCAAGTCACGGAACATCTGAGGCCAAGACAGGCTGAGCAGGGACTGCGCACCAGCACCTTGAGAGTTTGGAGCCCTGTGGAGCCTTGAGAGTTTGTTGCCAAGCTGGTCTTCACTTGGGTCTCCCAGTTGCTGAAGAAGGTGGCCTTATCCCCATTTTACAGAGGAGGAAACTGAGGCCCGGGAATCAGCCGCCTTGACCTGCTCTCCTCCCTTCCCCACCACCCAGACCTCATACCCGTCTAGTATTTTCTCCGCTCCACACAGTGCTGTGATAGTAAGGTGCCTCATGCAGGACCCAGCCGCCTCCTGGTTACCTGTCCTCGGGCGAGGAGGTGACTTAAGGACATCACAGGGCTCATGTGCTCGAGTTGTGGGGTCAGACTTCTGACGCTGTGCCCGGTTCTGTCCCTTAGAGGGTCGCTCACGTGGACAGTCGGCTTCACCTCTCTGGAGCTCACTGTCCTCATCTGTAAAATGGAACACTTATCTTACCGCTGGGGCCCCCAGAGAACTGACGTGAGGAAAGTACTAGGGGTGGGTGCTTCACCCTGAGCCTTTTCCGCCCCTGCTCGCACCTGGGCTCCGGAGGCCAACACGATCAGGGTAAATCGCACGTCACCAAGGACCTGTCCGGTTCCTCCTCGGTGCGAGAACCACAGTGCTCCAATGAGACGCTCGAGGGGGCAGCTAGAAATGGCCGCTCTCCCACCCTTCCCTCCAGACTTGGTTGCAAAGCGATTTTTCCCTGGGCCTCCTCGCGTGGGCCCCCCGCGTGCCTGGACCTTCGGGGCAGAGGCAGAGCCCCTGTTAGCATCGCCAAGGCTCCCCTGCCCCAGTGCCTTTGAATAGGACTCCGCCGCTTGCAAGCAGACCTAGAACCTACTGCAGAGCGTGGCTTGGGGGCGGGGAGTCGGCGCGTTCCCGCTGATTCATGGATGAGTCAAGGCTCGGCCACATCTGGGGCGCGGGTCGCGGCCTGTAAGGAGAATGTTCAGTATCGTTTGGCAAGGCGTTCACCATTCCAAGGCCTAATTCTGGTTCCTTCAGTGACTACGTGTTGTTTTACCGTCCACAAGGGCCTTTCCAGATACCTGGTCACATTTTCCTGCAAATAACGACGTCCGGCAGAGTCCCCACCCAGCTTTGTGACTTCTGTGCTGCGGCGTGGGCGCCTCCCCCGAGGGCCCCGGGAGCCGGTCTGGGCAGGGAACTGTTTTGATTCGGAGCCGTGTTTCTCCTCTGACTGCGGCTGGCCGCGAGCGGCTGGTTCGCTGACGCTGACGGCTGCGCTCCACGGCCGGGGAGCCATCGAGGCAAAGTGGAGGCAAGGACAGCAGGAAACGCTCGTTTGTAAGCTGGTGGTCTGCGTGGAACAGCCCCCAGACCCGCTCTGAATCTGCCTGTAAAGGGGCGCAGGGAAGAGTGGAAGTCACGTGGTCAGGAAAGACCGTCTCGTTCTTATTCAGTTCAGACGTGACAAAGTTAGGGTCTTCAAAACCCTTTGTGGCTCAGAAAGCCAACCCTGGGGCGCCCGGCGGGGCTCAGTCGGGTAAGAGTCCGACTTCGGCTCAGGTCATGATCTCGCAGTCTGTGAGTTCGAGCCCCGTGTCAGGCTCAGGCTCTGTGCTGGCAGCTCAGAGCCGGGAGCCTGCTTCGGATCCTGTGTCTCCCTCTCTCTCTCTCTCTGCCCCTCCCCTGCTCATGCTCTGTCTCTCTCTGTCTCTCTCAAAAATAAATAAAGATTAAACAAAATTTTAGTTGTTAAAAAAAAGTAAAAGGCCATCCTTGCTTCCATAATCTCCCTGTATCAGCGCAGGGACGGAGATCCCCAGGGACCCCAGAGTGGCTGGCACGGTGCGCTGTCCTGTCCTGTGGCTACGCTCTGGTGCCCAGGACACCGGCAGTCGTGTTTCATTCATACACGTTGTGTAACATAACTCGGTATTTTCTGAATCGGGTTCCGGCCATGGTTGAGCATCGCTTAAAAACTGGGATTTCAGGGGACATGGACGGGATGCGGGTGACCTGTTTCTGTCTTCTGGTCTTGCTGGTTTGTCGCCATGGGGCGCCCTGCCCCCCCGTGGTCCAGCGCTGGGTTCTCTGCGCTCAGGCTTTGGGATGATGCGTGGAGAGAACTAGAACTCAGGTCCCCGCCTCCGGCAGCTGTTTGCTGTGTCCCTCATCCTCACACCTGCTTTGGCTCCTCCTGGTTCTCCATCCCTGTGGAGGCTTCTCCAGGCGACCTGTTAATCTCCCCGTACGTTTCCAGAGAGTTCTGTGATACAGTCAATTTGGAACACTGGCTAAAGTTACTGATCCAGTTTCTGCCTGCCTCCTCGTGAGTCTTGTACACATTAAGGCGATGGGTAAATGTCTAATGCGTTATGACACGCGGCAGAATGAGAATCCGGCCGACCTCACAAACGTGGAGTCTCCAGGCCACCCAGAAAAGAGGAGTGAGGACAGTAGATAATAGGAGGCTTGTCCCTCATCTAAGGGGGCGTCTGCGCCTCAGCACCAGCCGATGGCTTAATGGCTTGTATTATTACACTGAGTCTGATTTGCCAAAGGTTCTGAAATGATAAGACTCACCCCTGAGCAAAGGTCGTGTCCAGATGAACGGCGTTCACGTGGGGTTGCAGGCTTGGACTTGCAGGTAGTTTGGGTGGATTTCAATCCTGCCTTGACTATGTTTCAGCACAAAGTGACCCCTAGTAACCCCAGGCAAACAGCTTTGCCTTTCTGAGCCTCAGTTTTGACATCCGCACAATGGCACACATAATATTATCCAACTCATAGAGTTGTAAGGATTCAATGCTGATAGGATGCTGGTCAGGCATCTCAGCCCAGAGCCTGGCACCGGGTAAGTGCTCAATTAACAGTCACTACATCTCAGGCCTTCATAGTGAGTGGAGAAAATTCACCTTAATTTCCAGGAACATTAGATCATTCCAGGTACGATGGAGACTGTCGATGCCCTAGGGCAGGGGCTGGTTAGGATGTTGTTCACCATTGTACCCTGGTGTCTGGCACAGTGTGGGGGTTCAAAAATTTTAACTGATTGTTGAAGGATTTCAAATGTTGAAACTTTGAATTCTTTTAAGTAAAAGTCCACAAAATGTTTTGAGACCTTGTATACTACAGTTCTATTAACCATGAATGTAAAAATTCACCCACCCACCCGTCCTTCCATCCATTCACCCATCCAAGCATTCACTCATCCATCCATCCATCCATCCATCCATCCATCCATCCATCCATCCATCCATCCATCCATTCACCCATCCATCCACCCACCCACCCATCCATCCACCCATCCATCCACCCATCCACCCACCCATCCATCCACGCATCCATTCACCCATCCATCCATCCATTCACCCATCCATCCATCCATTCACGCATCCATCCACCCATCCACCCACCCACCCATTCATCCATCCATCCACTCACCCATCCATCCATTCACCCATCCATCCACCCACCCACCCATTCATCCATCCATCCATTCACCCATCCATCCACTCACTCATCCTTCTGCCCATCCACCCTTCCACTTCCATCCATCCATCCTCCATCCACTACAACATCAGTTGTAGTTTTACCCATTTTGCTACTGCAAAATGTGAGGAAGAGAGGATTAAAGGGTTATCTCTATTAATAATGTCAGTCTGGGGTCCACCTCCTAAAACTTGGTGGGCTTCTGAGGCAGTTGCGTGGCATGCACATGAAGAGTGTGTGCACCAGTGCTCAGTTACCTGAGCTCACACCCCAGCTCCTGCCTAAATGACCTGGGGCAAGTCATGGTTTTACGGTAGTCGTGGAGACGATAATATCACTACACCTTAGGGTTGTGAGAATGGAATGAGATAATATGTGTAGACTATTCCGGGCCATGCCTGGCAAATGGTGAGTAATCCAACAAATGTGAGCTTCTATTCCCCGAGATTCCAGGCAACACAGAGGCTATAAATGCATGACTTCCTGTGTCCTGTCCCATCGGGATCCCTCGTAACAAGGGTGAAAGGTGAGCTTGCCTTGGAGCGGCTCCCTGCCCCCTGGATGTATTCTCTCTGTCCCTTCTGCACTCCCTTCTTCCATCACAGCTACTACGGGATCTTCGGGGCCGGATCTTGCTCTGATGCACCCACTTCTGGGGGCCCGGGAGACCTCCTCCCGCCTCCCCTACTCCACGCGGTCCTTCTCTCCAACAGTGGCCGGCCGGCGACAGGGGTGACCGAGCCACGCAACTGCCGTGACCTGTGTCTCCTCCTCTCTTGCAGGGAGTCTGACTTGTTTCTGCTGGACAGCCGCACGCTCTGGGCCTCGGAGGAGGGCTGGCTGGTCTTCGACATCACAGCCACCAGCAACCACTGGGTGGTCAACCCGCGGCACAATCTGGGCCTGCAGCTCTGCGTGGAGACCTTGGACGGTAGGTGCCCCGTCACCTCTGCTTCCGGCAGCCTGTGCTCCTGCACCGCGCAGGGGCTCCTCAAGCTCGCGCCTGCTGCCTGTTGCTCCCCCGATGCCCGCCGGGCAGCGCCCACCGTCCAGTCTTTTGATCCTGGGCAAAAGTAGCACCTGCCCCTTTGCAGGAGATGATGACCCAGTTGGCCACGGCCAGGTTGGCTGAGGCCTCGTGCGGAGCGAGGTCCCCGCCCCAGCAGGGTTGACGTGCTCTCAGAAACACAGACTCTGGTCCCGTCCCAGGCCTGCTCTGTTAGATCCGGCACTTTAACCGGAGCCGCGGGTGGTGCCTGAACACTTAACCGTGTGGGACACCCCTCCCTGGGGACATCCTGAGTGTCCTGCACATATGGCGGGACATTTAACTGTATCCCCGGCTTCTACCCACGAGATGCCAGTCGCATCTCCCCAGAATGTCTCCAGCAGTTACTGAAGGTTCCCTGCGGAACCAGGTCACCCGCGGTTAAGGACCGCAGCGCTGGTGTGAGGCATGGAGCCCCTTCTAGAAGCCCCCGCACATGGTTCTGAGCCCCCTCTTGGACCCTCCGCTGTTGGCTGCTTCCCCTGGTGCCTTCCGCTCCCCACCTCAGATCCACCCTCTTTGAAGGGCGGACAGAAGGCGGGTGGGAACCTGGGTGGGGTTAGCTGTGCCCATTTCTTCCCCCAAAATGTGTTTCTTATTAAGTAGGGGGAGGGGGGGCGCGGCTCCGGGGTAGGTAGCTTCTTCCTGACACCAGCTTTAAGGGGAAAAAAAAAAAAGAAACCCAAATGCAAAACACATTTATCTTAGAATAGATAATACTTGCGAGCGGCTCAACTTTCAAGCTGCAGGTGCGCGCAGCGGTGTGGCGGCTCCCCGCGACCTCCTTCCGCAGCTGATCTCACCTCCAGGGGCAGCTATTTCCATGGTACTGGCTGTCTTCTCAGACGCCCTCTGGGGATTTAAAATTGCGTCTAGATTCTTCGTTCCTTTTTTTTTTCTCCCTTCCTGCAGATAGTGACATGGCGTACACAGTGTTGTCTGCCTTGCCGTTTTTCACTGGCAACTTACCTTGAAGGTTGGGCCTCATTCGAGAGCTTCCCTGTTGGTGTAAAGGCTGATCTGTGTTTGTGTACGTGTGGCGTGTGTGTAGCTCTTCCGCTCGCCCGCTATGTGACCTTGGACAACCTCCCTAACTTTTCCAAGCCTCCTCATCTCCGACATTCAGGGGCTCTGGGGTTGTTCCGAGATTCGGTGAGTCAGTACAGAAGGGGTTTTAACATAGTGCCCTAATGGGGCGCCGGGGGGGCTCAGAGAGTCCGACCCTGGGTCTCGGCGCAGGTCACGATCTCATTGTTCGTGAGATCGAGCTTGCGTCAGGCTCTGTGCTGACGGTGACGTCCCTGCTTGAGGAGTCTCTCCTTCCTTCTCTTTCTCTTGTCCTTCACCTCGTCTCTCTCTCTCTCTCTCAAAATTAAATTTTAAAAAACATCTAAAAAATTTTTTAAATGGGGCGCCTGGGTGGCTCAGTCGGTTGAGCGTCCGACTTCAGCTCAGGTCATGATCTCATGGTTCATGGGTTCGAACCCCGCGTTGGGCTCTGTGCTGACAGCTCGGAGCCTGGAGCCTGCTTCGGATCCTGTGTCTCCCTCTCTCTGCCTCTCTCCTTCCTGCGCTCTGTCTCTCGTTCTCTCTCTCAAAAATAAATAAATGTTTAAAACAAAGGTTTAAAAATTAAAAAAAAAAAAAAAAAAGGGGCTCTTGTGCACATAAATCCCTGGGCATCTTGTTAAAATGCAGATTCTGATTCAAGACAGCCGGGGGGGGGGGGGGGGGGGGGGGGTCTGCATTTCCAGCCGGCCCCCGGGGGGCGGGGGTCAGAGGCTACCGCAGGTCCCGTGCGGTGCTTTCAGCAGCGCAGGCTGAGCGTGGGCCTGATGCTTTTGTTATTACTGGTGTTGCTGTTACTGTCATTGCTGCTGCTACTCGCATTGACTTATCCCGTCCCTCTGGGAAGGACACGCAGGGGTTTTCTGGTCCTTGCTGCTGTGGAGAAACCTCAGCGGATGCCTCGTCGTCTGCCTGAGCGCGCGTAGCCCTGGGATCAGCTCCGGAAAGGGACGCTGTCTGTAGTTTGGATCGATACTGCCAGTTTGCCCTCCTCGGGGCTCATCCCGTTCACACCCCGCCACAGTGGGGCACCCGTTCTCCCTTCTTTGACAGTCACACGTTTCCAAACGTGTCCATCTTCGCTCGTCAGGCAGCCATAGTGGGACATTGTAGGTTTGCTTTGCTTTTCTCCCTCACGTTTGGGGCTGAGCCCTTCCTCCTGTGCCCCGTCGGCCGTTTCCTCCCTGTGTGCCGTCCGTTCATACCCTCTGCCCGCTGCTCTGATAGAACGTTCGTCTTTTTCTTCTCTATAGTCTACGGACAGCTGGCCCTTTCTGCTTGGAGCCGCAGATATCTTGCCTGTTTTTAGTTTTTCTGTTTACTGTGGTTAATGCCGGGTTTTACCAAACGGATTTCTAGATGATGTGCCTGAATTGTATAACCCTTTCCTTCAGGGACCCTGGACTTTGCCTCTTTTCTTTCCCATCAGAGGCCACTGCCTTAGTCTGGGGCCGTCTTCCCTACCTGAGATCTGCCTCAGACGGTGCCCCATGTGGGAGGGGCCGCAGAGTATAGGAGCACTTTGTCTTGTGTCCGGGCTGGTCTTTTTTACTGATGGAGCCCTCCCTCTCCCTCCCCCTCTCCTTTCCCTTCCATGACACTTAAATGGGGAGGGGGGGGCGCCCTAGAAGTAATGAAGTTTTCCATTCTCTAAATCGAGTTGGCCAACTATATGCCTGATGGACCAAATTCAGCCTGCAGCCTGCTTTTCTGTGGCCTGTGAGCCAAGAATAATCCTCACATCTTTAAATGGGCGAGAAATATCAAAAGGGAAAGACTATTTCATGACATGTAAAATTGTATGAAATTCACATTTTGGTGTTCATAAAGTTTTATTAGTACACAGCTGCAGTCACTGATTTACATGTTGTCTAGGCCTGCTTTTGTGCTCTCACAGCAGGGTTGAGTAGTTGTGACAAAGACTCTGGTCCACGGAGCTGAAAATATTTATTATTTTCAGATGATTATTCATAGACGAGATGTGCAATCCCTGTTGTATGCCAGAACTTCCCAAACTGTGTCCTGTGAAGCGTTGATGGCTGTCCCGGGGTAAAGGAAAGCCTTTATGATCAGCGAGGCATGAGCAATGCCAGGTTGGAGAAACTCAGCAGATTTCTCTGCAGGACTTATCAGAACCCTTATGTTGCAAATGTCCATTGGGAATTTCCTGATGGGGAATATAACATAGAGGAATTCCAAACGTATTTGGCAATAGAGTCATTCAATTCTTCTCTTTCCTTACAAGCTTTTGAGGAGCATATTGGAGGTGAGGTTAAAAAATGAGGCTAAGGTAGACTTGATTCCTTTCCCTGGCCTCATAGATACTGGCTAGACCTTCCAACTTGACCTTCAGGGGTCCTGTGCTTCTCTGCCCTGCCTGTTGGGTTCAAGGTGGCCCAAGTTTGGTTTTTGTCTTAAGTGACAACCAACCCTTTAGTCTTTGGCATCATCTTTCTCCCCCAAAGTCTGGGGCTACGTGCCCTTGTTTCTTCCAGCTTCTGCTTCCCCCTCGCATGAGAGGGAGGCTTAGGGTTCCCTGAGATGGCACAGCCTGATGGTTACGGCCTGGGCTCAGGAGGCCAGACTCCCCAGGTTCAAATCCCACCTCTCCTGTTTGTAGCTGTGTGACCCGGGGTGAGTCACTTAATGTCCCTCATCTGGAAAGTGGGGTTAATAATAGTTTCCACCTTCCAGGGTGGCGGTGAAAGATCAGATGAGCTCATGCAAGCTAAGGGCGTCATTGCTCAGCTTGAGTCGGCAGCTGAGCACAGAGTGCTGGGGGCCGTACTTCCTCGGAAGGTCCACCTCGTGGCCGCAAGGCAGATGCCGCCAGTGAGATCCTCAGAGCACAGGGGAGGAAACCGAGGCCCCAAGTGGCGTGCGGCTGCGGCTCCACATTCTGGCGGCCGCCTGGGAATTCCTCTCTCTTCATCTCTGGGGGGGTATAGCCTAGTGGTTGTAAGATGCTGCCCAGAGTCAGGGTGAGGATCAGATGCCGTGCCCCGGGTCGGGCCCACCTCCTCCCTGCCTGTCCCCTCCCAGACGGGGCACCAGTTGCTGGGTATGGCTGCCGCCCCCCCGAGGACTTGGCTGGTCTGTCCAGGCGCTGTGTCTGCCAAGGAGGCAAGTTTGCCCTGGTGGCCTGGGTCAGGGCAGGAGACCCCCTCAGACCGTCCGACGGGAGCAAAGTCTAAATTAGGAGTCTGAATATTGAGATCGTTTCGGGGAGGAGATGAGAAGCAGGTGGTCCTGGCTATGCATTTGTCCATCAGAACCCCCCAGGGTATGTAGAGGGTTCTGGTTCCCGGGCCCCACCCCAGAGCACCGGGCCCTGGCCCAGCGCTGACACGCCAGCAGAGTCGTGCCCTGTGTTTTGTTTTGGGGTACCTGCCGATAAGATGGTGAGACGGAGCACCCCACTTAGATTCCGGGTCTAACCTGTGTTTCGTTAAAGGCCCGCGCAGGTGAGGCACCAGCAGAGCCCCTGGGGAGGCAGCATTCTGGGCTCTGTTTGCTGGCACAGCACGGCTGTGTCGCCCGCAGCAGTGGCCGGGTCCCTGCCCCAGCGGCTCCTGCTACCATCAGCATGAACCCGTGAGCCTGCGGCTTCCTGCGGCACCTGGGCGAGCCGAGTCCCGGGGCGGTGGGTGGTGCCTTTGTCCGGTCCCCTCTGAGAGGGGAGGAGTAGTGTCGCGACTCAAGGTCTAATCCTTGTCCAGACCCTAGCAGCAGCACAGCCACCAGGCGGCTCCCAGAATATGGAGGATGTCCCCCATCGTGGGCCTCAGTTTCCACACCCATACAATGGGCATATC